ATTTATTTAGGTTTTATTGTAAAATAAATTAGTCATAAAATGTGAGTTAGGTCATAAAAATATATATGCAATTTTTAGTTACAAAAAATAATTGTTGTTTCGGAACCTAAAAACGGAACTCAGAAAATAGCTAAACATTATACAACTAAAAACATAAACAGGACCTGTTAATTCTCGTTAACAATTTGCTAAATTAAATTATATGTTCAAATGTGAGTGAAAAATCTTAAAAAAAGAAAGTCGCTTAAAACGATTTATGTTTGTTTGCAGCTGAAATTTATTTAAAGTTTTCATGACACCAAACACATTCATAACATGTGCTGACAACTTGAGTTGTTCAAAGTTTTAACTAGACTTTTAAATAATGGAAACAAATATGCTACAATTGAAGCAAACAAAATGATCAATCTTTCTAGAAGAAGAAGTTTCTACAACATGTGGCAATCCGATCTACAAAGCATACCACCTCTATGTATGTCTGGTGTCTAACAGATGGCATTCGAAACTAAAACAAATATTGCGGTTGCAGTGCTTTAACATTTCAGCCTCAACGTTTAACATGCACTTGTTAGTTTTAAGAAATGTTGGGGGTTTTAATGCGTACCAAATCTTAATGTACTTTGAAAGATTCATATCCTAAGCATAATGCTTGTGAGAGTGTTAGATGCATTAAAATGTTGATAGCAAGACGAAATTTTATGACTTACATGTGAGAAAAATGTGTGAATAATGTTAGAAGGCGTACATTTAAAAGGGGGTCTGCACATTAGGAATGAGTGGAAATTTATGTATATTTCTTATATACATTACGAAAAACTAAATTTTTAAAAAATAATTTACTAGTTAGAACCGTTAATAAATTAACAGTTATGGTGGCTTAACATTCCTGTAATGATAAAGTCTCTTACACTGTTCTGCTAACGGGGTTACCCCAAGCAAACAGAGTAAATCACATTCAAGTTAAAGCAACAGCGCTATGTTAACTACTCACCCCTCGCAGTTATGTTAAGCCATTACTGTTATCAACCACTTTGTTAAGACATAAGAATTTACCACTATTACCCCAAAAGCTATGCAAAAGCTTTAACAGTCCGGCTGCTAAGCTTTTAACTTTGCAAGCTCACTAAACAGTTAACAAAAGCTTTGGCACTTGACTTATCCTTGTTGACTTCAGCAACTGACAGATGCAAACGGTAAAAACAACGAATGCCCGCACAGCTGATTGTCAAAAGTTGACCCACACCCCGCTGCCGTCAGCTGGGGCTACAACAGAAAGTTTATGTCGCTTCGTCTCGACGGTTTCAGTTAACACACGAATGGAAACCAGTAGAAACATGCGGTGCGTCACCAAGTGACGTCCACACTTAGGCAAAACAGTTACGCGCAACTCTCTGTGTGTGTGTGTGTGTCTGTTTGTTTGTTTGTGTGTGGAGTAGCATTGAAAAACGCGTTGGCCAGACAATTGCCGAAAAAAGAAAAGGGAAAAGCAGGCAAAGGTCAAGGCTCACCTCAAGCAATGCAAGTGCAATACGAACAACAAGCAGCAGGGAAACCCAAAAGCCATTCAATCTGAAAAGTCAAAAGTGGGCGCAACATGACGCCCACTGCGAGTCAATTAAACCGCACGCAACTAAAGGAAACTACAATAGCGTGAAATTTGAGGCGTGGCACAAGGAGCAAAAGCTAAAACATAACAAAAACTGTGGCATACCTTGCGGCCTTGCAGCAGCAGCAGCCGCAGCAGCAGCAGCAGCAGCAGGAGGAGGAACAGCATCGGCTGCCCTGGAGCATGGGTTCATGCCTCAGCAGCTGCGTTGCCGCCACCGCCACGAGCTCAGCCACAAACTCGACAGCCTCGTCGTCTTCCTCCTCGGTTAGCTCCACAACCTGCGTTACGGCCGTCGCCAACAGCTGGCTTCTTTGGTAAGCTTCAAAGTGCTCCGCTGCCCCCTCAAAAGATCGTGCATAGTGCAGTTAATTAAAAGTGCATTTTGTTTACTTTGTGGCACACAAAAGTATGCTATGCCACGGCAAATCCAATAAGCGTGCTGCTGACTTGGCAATCAATAGAAGCTTAAAGGGGGGGGGGGGCCGTAATTAGCGCGATTCGTGTGCGCACCGCCATCAAACGACACGCTTTATGCCAGAGTCTTGGGCTCTAAATTGCATTGGCAAACATAATTTGCGGACAACACGGCCAGCACAGGCAACGACAACCCGCGGCAGGGTCAACAGCCTAAAAGTATGCAACGCTTGAGTGCGTGCTGCCTGGCACAAACAATGCCCGGAAGGGGCTTCACTCGCCATATGCCTGTACATAAACAATACAAATAAATAGATTAGGCATTGTGACACGCATTTAATTCCCTTTCGCGATTTATTGAAGAAAATTCAATTTTAGAAGAATCAAAGACCCAATCAATCAAACTTAACTTAGCCCAACTTAAATCATGCCAGATTAGCCGTAAAAATCCGACTTATTAAACAAACCAATTAACCTGTTTAAATTTTCTAGAAAAATATTCTTCTAATTTGCGATGTCTATAATTTACGTTCTATTACTTATTTGCAGAATGCATTTAAAAAAATATTTGCTCTCATCGAAACTGTTTAAAACTGTTTCCTGACAATTGTAAACAATTAAAATGTGCATAAATATTTTAATTTTCCATATATATTGAGTGCATGTCACATACTGACTGGGAAATGCCTACTATACCCCAACAAAGAACTGAATTGCATTGTTCTCCTTGCAGGCGTCGTCCCAGAGCGAGAGCCAGAGCAGAAGCTACAGATGAGCCGGAAGCGGAGCTGCTCTCGGCTGCCAGTGAGCGCTGCCAGCGACGTGGCCTTGTCTATCGCATACTAAAGTTCAAGCGGAAGCAGCAATGCCCACAATTTCTGGACAAATACTGGGAGCAACAGCCCAGCTATGCGAAGCTGCAGAACGACAGGTGAGCGAATAAACGCCTCAATGAAAGCCACCTGAGAAAATTGCACCCCATCTTAAATTTCTAGTGCTCTGGCGGATATACAGCTGCAAAATCTGGACGTGCACAAGCTGCTCAATGCCACAACGACGCCCAGCAAGGAGACGGAGCTGCAAAACTATGCACGCATGTCCAGCTCGCGAGCCAGCTCCTCGCTAGACCTGGAATGGGAGCACGAGTATTCACAGCTGCGACAGTACCAACAGCGACAGCAAAAGGAACAGCCACAGCCGCAGGACACCCCCACCAGGGTGGCCTCGCAGCCGCGCTACGCTTCCTTGGACCAATTGACGACGGCAGCCTCGCTGGCCGCCAGCCATGGGCGGCATGCGGCGGCGGCACGCCAGGCTGGGCGACTGGGCGGTCACCGTTATGGCGGCTCCTTTACGCGCACCTCCTGCTGCTCCTCAACGCAGAACTCCTGGTCACACATATCCACGCCCGAATCGCTCGAATGGGACATTGATGCCGAGCAGGAGCAGCAAAGGCAGCTGCGTCAGGAGGACGACAATTTGGATGAGGAGACCCTCAAACTGCTCCATCAAATTGAACAGCTCAAACATCATGTACTTCAGGAGACTGGCGACGGCCTGAGCATGGGCGTTGGCGTTGGCGTGGGCGTGGCTGTGGAGGAACTTAGCGAAGGCTTACAACTTCGAGCGTCACACTTCGGCGTGGCCAACGGCTCAGAATTGGAGATGCACATTAGTTGATTTGTGGAACAGTGCATATAATGCGTATATAAGGCGAGTATAAATCATGTACAAGAGACCTACAAAGGACCTGTGAGGAATGTTTAGCTAAACAGAAAATATAGACGGCTGCTCCAAAAGGCATCGTGTAATTGAATTTTAAAAAATGCAATTAAAAAAAAATTATTTATATCATATGTTTGGAAGAATCGCAATAAGAAACCTTTATGAAATGTCTAAGAAAATGTATTGATTAACCTACAACAATGCGAAGATGATAAAGAAAACGTATCTTCGGTTAGCCGAAGATTAGATACCCTTGCAGATACATGAAAGACTTACAACATTAAATGCTAATTTTAGTTGTTCATACTATCTATTAGATACAGTAGTTGGATAAGAATTTGCCAAACAAATTTGTGCAATTGGAGTGTTCAGTTTAGAAATCTAAAAGAGGTTTATACAAACAAAATATTTTGCTTACTATATATAAATTATTTTAGTCTGATATTACTAAGATTTACCAAACCAAAACTTACTTTACTGATTTTCTTATGGCTAAATTAGAATCTATAACAATACGATCTGCCAGACAACGATTAGTGCTAAAATCATTTCTGAACTGTTTCATCCAGTGAACAGATTGCTGAGCTATATCGACTATATTGACTATTCACAACTAAGTTATCATGTTTTTTGCAAGGGTATGATGAGTACAAGTTTTTCTTCTCCCCATACGAAATGTCTATAAAAAAGATTAAGTTACCTGTAAACTTTGTACAAGTGCAAGTCGGTACTACATGATCGAAACTCAAACAAATTATTTGCGCAATTAAAGTGCCTCGCGAACATGCACTTTCTTTTCCCTCTGGTACAGAAACCCCAAACTATGTTAACGCCTTTAAAAGCATATCGCTACAAGGATTTGAGATACAAAGAACTAACTACACTCCGTAGTTATATGCACTATTTTATTATGTTATGAGATATATTTACTAAATGCAGCAATATTTATGATTATATTGTACTCTGATGCTACCTACCAATAACAAATAGATATATTTACTAAATGCAGCAATAATTATGATTAAATTGTACTCTGATGCAACCTACCAATAACAAATACCCACGCACCTTAAGCTACACAAATTTGAAGGCCTTTTTAGAAACAAAGAACTTACTATATGGCAATTGCATGTTATATTATATTATATATGCTCCGTTTCGTTATGTTTTTAGATATTTATGCTTAATGCGGTTGATGAATCAGATGAATATGATTATGCGTAAAGTACAGTAGTGCACATTAAATGCAAAATTATATTTTCAAAGTTTATTAGGGAAATCGCAAACAAAATACAAAGGCACGTCCTTATAGAGCGAGTATTACACATGTATATGTATGTATGTATGTATATGTATATTTAGTAGTGATTGCGGTGTCAACTGTGACCGACAAAAATCTTTTCCTTTTAAGACTAAACTAAACTGATTAAAGAAACGTTTGTAGAAAATGTATCCACATTTGTGATTCGTTTTTTTGGGCTCGTTTCGGTTTTAGATGCACTTAAGTCTTTATGGCAGTAACAAATTCTAACCGAAAATGCCGGTTATCTTATTTTTAAATTTGTCGAACGTGCTGGGCAGCGGCTGGAATTGAAGATGAGAGTTTATATTGTTTTTAAAGTGTTGGCGCGAAAATAAGAATACTTTTTAATCCAGAATTGATTCTAGTTCAAAGAAACCTCGAAATAAATCTCTATCAAAGAATTTTCGAACATTCTAAACAACATTTGGGAATAATTTAAAAATTCCCATTTATCTCAAAAATTTGTCATGATTTTAAAAACCAATTTGAAAAAATCCCCAGAAATTTGATTTGTCAAAAACTTTTTTGAGAGTTTTAATACCGTATTTGATTTAGCTTACCGTTGTTTCAACTGGCTGTGCCTGCTGCAGCTGGCCGTAGTTGGAGCCATAGCTGTGGCCATAGCTTTGGCCAGTTAAGTCCTCGACCTGCTGCTGTCCCAAATCTTGTGTATCGTCCAGCAATTGCTGCTGCTGTTGTCCGGCATTGCCGTCTAGTTTATAGTTGGCATTCCAGTCGACTTCCTCCTGCTGCTGTTGCTGTCCGCCATCCACTTGATCGTCCGTCCAGCCCAGATCGACCTGCTGCTGCTGGCCGAGGTCCTCGAGCTGAACTTGCTGCTGGGATGCAGGCTCCTCGCCCGCCGCCCGACTCCATTTGCCCAATTTGGCGCTGGCAGTGGCCGATGAGCCACTCGGACCGCCACTGGCCGCAGCCGAGGCGCTGCCAACGGGCAGATCAAACGTGTAATCCGTGCGACGATATTCATAGCCAGCATTGGCGCCGCCGGGTGCACCGCCACGTTGATAGGGCAACGGAGCCGGTGTGGACACTAAAGATATGGGCAATGGCAGAGGCGCCTTGACTTCACCCTCCAAGCCTGGCTCATCGTCTTCATTATCTGAGTCCTCATAGACATGCGGCGGCTGGTCACCGCGATCCTTGGAGAAAACGGGTTTGTGCACCGCAGTCGAATTGGTGGTGCCCTGATCGATCACATAGCCACCGTTGCCGGCGGGCAGATCGATTAGTCCCTGACTCAGCAGATAGAGAGTGCGACGCCAAATGCTCAGCTCCTGGCCGTACTGGCTGTACTTGCTCTGGAGCTTTTGCAGGCGCCAGTGCTGCTTGTTCTCCCAGCTCTGTGCCTCGGACTCGGGCAGCAGCTTGCGGTGATTCAAATAGGTCAGATAATGCAGCTCGTCGTCGCGGAACTGCTGCAGTTCGGTCAGAGTCATGCCATAGTAACGAGCCACGGCCGCGATGCGTTCAAATTCCTTGAGCTGCCAGGCCTTGAGTTCATGCAACGATATCAGGTATTGCTGGGCGAATCTTTGCAGCTTCTCCTCGTCCTGGCGCTGCCAGTCGCGCAGCTGGCGCAGCGTCATGTTCTGCGTGCCAATGAAGTCGTAGAGACGATCGCGTTCCTTTTGCTGCCAGGATGTGAGCACATTGAGGCGACGCTGCTCGAGCAGCTGCTCCTTGGCCATGTTGCCCACATGGATGCGCTGCACGGGCGCCAGCTGATGCAGGCCCACGCCATAGAGACGCGCCAGCTCATTCTGATAGTTGTTGTCCAACGAGATGAGCTCCAATAGCTCCTGATCGGTAATGATTACGCTGGAGCCAATTTGACGTAAACGCTGACGCTCCTGCTCCTTCCAGTCGCTGCCCACAACTTGGCTGTCGACAATGAGACCCATGTCAGCCAAACGCTGCAGTTTCTCCTGAATAAAGACGCGCAGCTCCTCGACTGTGACACGGTACTGCGGTGCCAGTATGGACACATCGCGCAGCAGCAGCTGCTCCAAGGCATTGCGATTGATGGGATGGCGGACGACGGTCTGGTAAATGCGTTCCAATTCCTTTGTTTGCCAGGGCAAACCGTAGCCTCGCTCGATTTTACGCAAATCCAACAGACGTTTCAGTTCGTTCTTGTACCAAAGCTTTAGCTCCTCAATGGTTATTTGATACTGACGCACCACGTCCAGCAAATGCTTCTGGTCATTGAGTAGCTTCAATTGCAGCTCCTCGATGCTCCACTTTTGGCGCCGGCGCAGCTGTTGATTGATCAGATCCTGTATATACTGCTGCTCCTTCAGCTGCCAATCCTCGACCGTCAGGGAGCCCGTGATGAGACCCTCGTTGGCCAGCTGCCTGGCCGACTCCTGCAGCCACAGATGGATGTCCTCGACGGTAATGTGATATTGTTGTGCCAGCCGCTCATAGTTGGGCTGATTGCGTACCAAATACAGCTGGAACTCCTGCCAGGACATGGGCTTCAGATGGGTTTCGCTGCGCAGGCGTGCGGCTAAATATTCCTTCCAGGGCTGCGACTCGCCTTGCTGATCCGTAATGCTTACGATCTCTTCATAGCGAAAATTATCCTGCGGCTTCTCAATTACACCAATTAGCGAGAGTCGTGCCGTCTCCTTTTGCACCCACTGCTCCACCTGCTCCACAGTCAGATGATAGTCATTGGCAATGCCATTAAGTCGTGACTTGTCGCGCTTCAAGAACTCCAAGAACTCCTGATAGGTGGTCGAATCCTGTTGCTGCTTGAGCCAATTATCGAAGCCGTTGCTAATCTGCTTCTGCCATTGGGTTTGCTGCTCGAATTGCACAAGACCCGAGCTCTGTAGACGACGCAGTTCGTCGTGCAGCCAATTATCGACTTGTTCGATGCTCACGTGATTCGTTTGCGAGAGACTTTCCAGGCGATCGTGATCCTTGCGCAGCTCGCGCTCCACATCCTCGTAGTTCAAATCCTGCTGGTGCTTCAGCAGCAGCTCAATGAGACGCTCCTGTTCGGCGATCTGCCATTTGCTTAGGTTCTCCACCTTGGCATTGCCCGTGGTCTTCAGATTGATCAGCTGTTGACGCAGCCACTGCTCGATCTCTTCCACATTGACCGAGTACTGATTACCCAGCCTTTGTAGGCGTTCGCGCTCCTTTTGCAGCTCCAATTCAAACTCCACATAGCTGATGTGCGTTTGCTCCTTGAGCAGATTCTGCAGACGCTCCAGCTCCGACACTTGCCAGGCGCTGAGCGTCTTCAGCGATGTCTCTGTATTGCCTCTCAGACGCTTCAGCTCCGATATCATCCATTCCTCAATCTGTTCCACATTCAGACGATACTGATCCGCCAGCTGATTGAGATACGCGCGATCGGCTAGCAGCTTTTGCTCGTACTCCGCCGTGGACAGGCCATTCTTATATTCGGCAATCAGGGACTTGATGTAATCGCGTTCCACCAGCTGCCACGTCTGCAGCTGCTCAATCTCGAATTGTCCCTTCTTCTGCAAGTCTTCAATAACCTGCTTGATGTATGCTTCAATTTCCATAAGGCTCACATGATGCTGATCAGCCAACTTCAGCAAGAACTGGCGATCGTTTTGTACCTGTGAGAAGAACAGAAAAATTTATCATAATTATATTCATTTAAGTTCCATGCACAAGGAGTCTTGGGAGTTTGCCCTCACAAATTTCCAATTTCTTGATTTATTTTTAACAGCACACAATTAAAATTCATTTACGCTCAGAATTTTTATCATCTTTGGTTTTAAAATAGCATCAGGAAAATTGTGCCCTCCCAATTTTAATTTCAATCATTTAAAAATAGAACCAACAAATGTGTAAAATGACTTCTCTCCCTTTTTTTTGGCTTTCTTCATAAAGCAAATTAAATTCAATGACCTATAGATTAATTTAAAGCTGATCAACCAATAGAGTATAGGCAAAGACAATATAAACACTTAGATGAGTAACGCCCATACATTTGAATGCGACGCAAAATTTCTAGCCTGGCTTCTCATCTGGCTTTTCCCACTTCACATGACATGGCAGCCGATTGGCTGTTCGCTCTCCAAAAGCCAGACGAACGAATGCCGAAGTCGCGGCTTGTTGATGCTGGCGTTACTCATCTGAGTCTTTATATTGTCTTTGGTATAGGGTTGCTTCGCTTACAAAAAACACGTATACGCACCTTGGACTCAAACTGTTCCATTGTAATGTTGGACTGCGTCTGGAGCAGGGACAGAATGCGCTGCTGCTCAGCGCGCTGCCAGGCTGTCAGCTGCTCAATGTTGAGCTTGCCCTGCTGCTTGAGGCGCTCAATTTCGGATTGCACCCAGCGTTCGATTTCCTCGACCGAGGTGTGATATTGGAAGGCCATGGTTTGCATGTGCTCGCGATCATTGCGCAGCTCGGCTTGCAGATCCTCGGCGCTCCATTGCTTGTTCTGCTTGAGCAGCGTCTCGAGGCGCTCGCGTTCGGCCAGCTGCCAGGAGGTTAGATTGTCAATCTGGAGCTTGCCCTCGTCGCGCATGCGTGCCAGCTCCTGTTTCATCCAGCTTTCGATCTCCTCCACCTGGACGCTGTACTGACGTGCCAGTTTCTCCAGCAGTTCGCGATCCTGACGCAAACGCGCCTCGAGCTGTTCCGTGGACTTGTACTGTTGCTGTGCCAGGTTCTTCAGATGCAGACGCTCAACCTCCTGCCAGTTGGTCAGCTTCTCGCTGGGCTTGAGCAGGCCCATGCCAATGAAGCGTTGCTCCTCCTTCTTGACAAACTGTTCGATTTCCTCGATCTGCACATTGTGCTGCATGGCCAGACTTTGGAGGCGCGCCCGATCCTCGAGCAGCCATTTGTGGAACTCCTCCACAGTGTAGTCGCGCTCCTGCACCATGTTGGTCAGATTGCCACGCCATTCCTGTTGCCAGTTCTTCAGTCGCTGCATCTCGATGAGACCCTCGCTCTGAAGTTTCTGGATTTGCTGCTTAATCCATTGCTCGATCTCCTCGACGCGCACCTGATTCTGCTGAGCCAGGCTGTACAGATGCGTCTGATCCTTGCCAATCTTAGTCTCCAGCTCCTCAATGGACAAATCATTCTTGTTGATCAGATCCAGCAGACGCTGTCGTTCAATCTTCTGCCAGTTGTTCAGTTGCGTCTCCATGTGCAGTTGTCCCTCACGCTGCAGACGCTCGCCCTCGGCCTGGATCCATTGCTCAATCTCGGATACCTGCACGTTGTAGGTCTTGGACAGATCGTTCAGACGAGCACGATCAGCCAGAAGCTTCCGTTCAAACTCGTCAATGGAATATTTGTTCTGCTGCACCAGTTTGGAGATTTGCTGACGTTCGGCCACCTGCCAGTCCTTCAATGCCTCCGCCTTGAGCAGACCCTCGCTTTGCAGGCGCAATAGCTCCTTTTTCAGCCAATCCTGTATATCCTCAACACGGATCTGATACGTGTTGGCCAAGTCGAAGAAGTGCGACTGATCGTTCTTAATCTTCGCTTCCAGCTGCTCCACGGTCAGCGAGTTGTGCTGCACCAGAGACTGAAGTCTCTCGCGCTCGCGCTGCTGCCACTGGGCCAGCTGCTGTTCCACCTCCTTGAGCAGACCCTCGGATTGGAATTTCTTGAGTTCGCTCTTAATCCACGCCTCGATCTCCTCCACGCGCACCTTATATGTGCGCGCAAACTGCTCTAGGCGTGCACGATCGTTGATTATGGAGTTCTGGAACTCTTCAATGGTCAACTGATTCTGTCCGATGATGTTGCGCAGCTGGGCGCTGACGCCGATCTGCCAATCCTTGATGTGGCTCTCCAGCTGCTGCGCACCTACCAGCTGCAGGCGTTGCAGCTCCTCGCGTTGCCATTTCTCCAGCTCATCGACACCCACGCGATATTTGGCCGCCAGATTCTGGACGTAGCTGCGATCCTGGGCCATTTGTTGCTGCAGCTCGGTTAGGCTGCCCCGATGCTGCCTCAGCATCGATTCCAGGCGAGCTCGCTCCGAGCTTTGCCACGCACTTATTCTGGTGACCTGTTCGTTTTGCTCCTTGATCAGATCACCGATGCGTGCGACCTCGCCACGCAGCCACTGTGTCTGGCTCTGCATGTCGCCCTGATATTTGATCGACAGATCCTTCAGACGCTGCTGATCCGTCCTTATGGAGTTCTGGAGCTGGGCAATTGTGGCATTGTGCTGACGAATGAGCTCGTCTAGGCGCTGCTGCTCCTGGGCATTGTCCACGACCAGCGAGCTGGAGTCATGTATGGACACTTGGTTGGATATCTGGGGTACTTGGGGACTAAGCGAATCGTTGATCTTATTGAAGTGGACATAGAGACGCTGCAGTTCCTGGCGCTGCCACTGCTGCAGTTGCTCTTGCGAGACGCCATTCTTCTGTGCCAGCTGACGCAGCTTGGCGCTGTTCTCCCGCTGCCAGCGATCGAAGTCCTGCGAAGTGAAGCTATTCTGATGTACGAGCCAATCAAGACGACCACGCTCCTGACGCTGCCAGGCGCTGGCATCCTGAACCTGTGCCTGATACTGACCCAACAGCGCCTGATAACGCGCCAGCTCACGACGATGGAACTCCAACAGAACAGGCAAAGTCGTATGATAGCGATGCGCCACGGCCAGCAGGCGATCTTCGTGCTGATGCTGCCAATCCTCCAAGCGTTGCGGCGAGGTTAGATACCAGAAGAAGTGCTCACGTTCCTCGCGCTTCCATTGCTCATCGCGCGGCACCGACGACGCACCAAAAGGACGCGAATTATCGTAGACCAACTGACCGTCCTCCCAGCGTTGCTGCGACTCGGAGCCATCCACAGAGCTGGTGCCGTCGGCGTGCGTGGTTATGGTCTTATTGAAGCGCCTTACTGTGACCGTTGAACTCGAGCCGGGCGAACTCACCTGGCTAAAGGATGGCACCGCACTCATTTGACCGTATGATGGGGAACCTCTGCCCCCGTCGAGGCTAACCACCGATCTGTAACCCACCACTGTCGGCTCCATGCGCTGTCCAATCCAGTCCTGCAATGACGACGACTGACGGGTCAAAGTGGTGCTGCTGCTGCTGCTGGCGGGCAGAGAGATCGGGCTCTGGCCATAGGTCAGCTGGGCGGCTGAATTGCTGCCATAGCTATTCGACAGCTTAGAGGCCTCTGTGCAGTTGCGATGCACCACGTAGGTCTTGCCACCGATTACCTTCACCTCGGCCGGATACGCATAGTTCTTCACCTCATCAAAGCCACTCAAGTCAACGGGATGAAACGGATTCAGGTCCACAGTCTGCTGTGTAGCACCCGTGGCATAGTTCTCCAGCACCTCGGCCGCCTTGGCATCGAAAAACGCGGGCTGCGCAATGTTGTTGTAGCTTATAAGTCCCTGGCGCATATCATTTACCAGCTGCTGGCTGATCTGCAGACAGAGAGCGTCCAGCTCGCTCGCACTCTTCCCACTCAATTGCAGTATATTAGCTGGAAGAAAATACAATTAAAATATAAATTAAAAAACCAATATTAATAAGAATGAAAAGTTAATTTTCTATTTAACTTCCAAATTTGCCCTGCTCTGTTTTTTCCTGTTTTTTCTTCTGCTATAGATTTCTATTCTATCGTGTCAGGGACACCAAATAATGATGTCACGTTTTTTTTCGACTCGAATGGCGAAAGTAATCTATAAAAATTATACGCACATAATATTCAGTATGCTCATGATTTTTCCCAAATTAATTACGTTATCTCTAAGCAATTATAGCTATATGTCTAAGTAGACCGATTAAGGTATTATGTTGACCTCAAATTTGAATTAGGCGCAGTGAATAAATATATGCTAATCTTTTCTTTTAATGACAGTTTCTTTTATCAGTGTTTCACAATTGTATGCTGACAAGTAGAATTTCTTTTGCCTAGTTTTTTGTTTCTATATGAATCAATGAACCTGAGATCATAAATTACCTCTAAAAATGTATTCTATAAACGCCACTTCCGGTTGTCAGTTAAAATATATAATATATAATCTTGAACTAACACAGCTTTATATTATACTTTAATAAATGTTGTCGAGCATTTCGTTAATGATTGCAAATGATTGAAATTAAAGATGAACTAGATACATATACATTTTGGGGTTGATTGTCAAATGCATAGATCATGTATAAATGTTTTTAATTTGACAAAACTAAATCAGCTGCTGTTCTTGCTGCTCCAATTAGAAACAGACGTTAACTTACCGCTCCAGGCCAGGGAATGTCCCAAGCCATTGCTGCCGCCCGTGGACATGGCATTGTATTCCTGCGTCAGTCGATTGGCAAACTCGCGAACCTCATTCAGATGATTGTAGGCCCAGCTGTTTAGCTGTGATTGAGCCTGCAGCATCGCTTGGGATTGTCCGCCGCCGAATGATGATGAGGAGCTGGTCCTAAAGCTGGATCTGTAGCTGCTGTAGCCTTGGCAACTCGCGATTGCCAAGAGCAGCGCACACACGCCCAGAGCACGCATTCTGGGCTAGCTGGAAAATCAGATAGAAAAAAACTGTGTCATTCATAAATAGTAAATGTGTTAATAATTAAATGTGGGTATATGCTTGTGTTACGCAGTCGGCTTGAGCCGAAAAGCTCTACTTAAATTCAAAAGTTGGTGCCTTGGGCGATAAGCAGAGCTCAAATCTAGTTCAGTCTATAGCCAGGGATTATCACCCAGCTGAGGGGCACAAAAGGTTAGCCAGCCGATAATTTGAATGTTACTTAGCAAACAGTTTTTTTTTTTTTGTTTTAAATAAACTCGCTGAAGTCTTTTGGCTGCTTTATATTTTAATTATAATTTAATATAAGTATTTTAAAATTTTTTTTTTGTTTTTTGACACCAAAGTTGAGTATTATTTTTCATCCGGTACTTAACGATCTGTTTGTTGATAAGTCTTTAATGCCTACGTGGTAATTTGAAATTGAAAAAAATGTTCCACAATATGTGCAATATATAGATTTGTTCTGCGACAGCATTGGCCCATAAATCAACAGCTTTGATAGATAAGCAATACTCCATTTGGGTCACATTTTGGGGGATATAGTAAACATCCCGAATTGAATTTTTATTTCTGGAACAACTAATTTCGGGGCTAGTGCAGGTTGTGGCCAGAGCGCAGGCGGCGGCTATTTTTGGCTGCTGTTCGCCGTACGATATACAAATAAAACTGCAATTCTGATTTTATATATATATATATAAGCATATATTTTGTTGTTGTACTCACTCTCACTTGTGTTCACACTGTGAGCGCTGTAATTGCGCTCTATTGCTTGTATCTGAACTGATTAGAGTTCGCAGGATCGGCACATATAGTAAGATGCTCCGGATCACTTTCACTATCACCGCTTGTACCGTTAGTTATTGCGCCGATTTGAAAAACGTTGCGCTGCGTTGCGCTGCCGAACAGCAACTGGCAGCCGAGCGCATAGCGTGAAGCTTTTATTAGAAACATTTTCGAGAGATGCCACAAAAGAGCGGAATGTTGTTATCAATGTTGAACCACCCCGTTGAATTGGGTGCTGAGTATTTTTGGAAAAACAACCAATAACTAATAATCAAGCTAAGATCGTATTGGACGTCATAGTTCAAAGACAAAAAAAAAAAACCTGTATGTGATCTTCTAATGAGCTCATATGTGAGTCACAAGCCGGTAGCTCTGACCGATTTGATTTTGTTTACACCCAATGACAATAGATCAAAAATAAATGAATTTATTGCGAATTCCAATAATGCATATGATCTCATATAAGCTCCCGAGTTGCTGGAGAGCGTTCGTTACATGACAGCGACATGCACATTCTGTGATGGATGTCGCGGAGGGGGGCGCGTCATATTGCGTGGGGGTCGCAAGTGTTTGGGTATTTAAAAGTGATTCAAAACAATTAGGTATAAAATAGATACTTGCATATATGCAAATTTTACTGACCTTGCAAAAGCTTTAAATTTTGTCATTTCCATTGAATTTGCCAAAACCAAAAATAAAAAAAATAAAGACTGTAAGGGAAAAACCAAAGAGGTATATTTTTTCGCATCCTATTTGATATTGAAATTGAATATTTAGAACAAGTTCTTTATATTAGCAACCACAAGGTTATTAGCAATTTAATTTTCAGCTTTGTGCCACAATCATTTTCATAAATCAATACGTGTTTGACATGCTTCAAAAAAAATGTTTGCAACATTTTGTAGCGACAGTTGAAAGCAAAATTAATGAACGATATAACAAAGCCAATAAATAAGTGGGTTAGTCATTTACGTTTGGAGTTCTGAGAACTTTATTTGCTTGAATATTATTTTGCATTTGTTGTCAAACTTTTGACCGGTATCCGGTTTTGTTTTTGCACAACTAAACAATGTGACTAATTCAAGATCTGTTAGCGCCATCTAGCGACATTACGCTCAGTGCTGCAAGGCGCGCACAGCGCCAGCTGTTATAAAAACAGTGCTGACAAGTGAGTAAACTGTGTGCTAGAGATGAGGCCGATTTATAGCAAGTCGTGCAGCGACATGTTTGTATATTTTTATATCCTTCCATCCGAATACACTTACATACTTTTTGAATACCCTAGCATACTGAGCTTGAAATTATATTATAAAAAATAAACTGTATGCAAAAATTGTTAAGAGTTACGCTCGGCCATTTATGTACATTTTTCAATATTCATCGTACCAGTTTGGATATATGTATTGAGCACGCTGCCATCACCAGTAAATGCCATGGTATCTATGAAATACGTGGTTGATTTGTTGTTAGCACGCCCATTAACTGCCTAAAATGTATAACCTGTACAAAACTAATGTAAAACAGAAACTAGCCGACAACTAAAATAGGCCACACAACATTGGTAAGCGCTCGAGACAAATTGCTGAATCAGATCAGATTGAACAATATTGTGCCCACAGGCCATGGCAAAAGCCAAAGCGAAGCAGGAACCGCAACAGCAACGACAAACACTTCAGGCGACATATCGTTTTGTCCTGTTCTTCATAGCTGGCAGCTTGGCAGCCTTTGCCTTCCATGCGCTGACCTCGTCATCGGGCTCCCTGATGGGCTGGCGGCTACGACTGCATCACCTGCCCACGGCCCATTATCTACAGACGCGCGACGAGTTTGCGGTATATTCGGTGGATGAGCTTAATGCATTTAAGGAGTTTTACGACAAGAGCATCAGTGACAGCGTGGGTGCCAGCTTCACGGAGGCGGAGCAGACCAACATCAAGGAGGCAATGGGCGCCCTGCGACTCGCCCAGGAAATGTACATGGCAGGAAAGGATGACAAGGCAGCACGGCTGTTTGAGCACGCACTCGCACTGGCGCCCAAACATCCGGAGGTGCTGCTGCGCTACGGCGAATTTCTCGAGCACAATCAGCGTAATATTGTACTGGCCGATCAGTACTACTTTCAGGCACTCTGCATCAGTCCGAGCAATTCGGAAGCCTTGGCCAATCGCCAGCGCACAGCGGACGTAGTACAAACACTGGATGAGCGCCGTCTGATATCGCTGGATGAGAAGCGCGACGCATTGTCTGCCATACACGAGGCCAACTCGGCACTACGTCGCGCCAAAAAGGAGGCATACTTTCAGCACATTTACCATTCGGTCGGCATTGAGGGCAATACCATGACGCTGGCACAGACGCGCTCAGTGCTGGAGACCCGCATGGCTGTCGACGGCAAGTCGATAGATGAGCACAACGAAATTCTTGGCATGGACTTGGCCATGAAGTACATTAATGCGAGTCTCGTGCAAAAGTAAGTCGCTCGAAATGTAGTCCCATCTATGTGACTAATTATTACGTTTACGTTCATTTCAGATTAGAAATCACCCTCAAGGACATTTTGGAGCTACATCGCCGTGTGCTGGGCCATGTGGATCCCATTGAAGGTGGCGAATTTCGTCGCAATCAGGTCTATGTGGGCGGTCATGTGCCGCCGGGCCCCGGGGATTTGGCAATTTTAATGCAACGCTTCGAGCATTGGCTAAATTCCGAGCACAGCAATTCGCTGCATCCGGTCAAGTGAGTTTCTACAAACAGCTACTCAGACCAGGACCAGCAGCTCTCAATTTTCCCTTTGCAGCTATGCAGCGCTCGCCCATTACAAACTGGTGCACATTCATCCGTTTGTTGATGGCAACGGACGCACCTCACGTCTTCTGATGAACACGCTCCTTATGCGCGCGGGCTACCCGCCTGTCATCATACCCAAACAGCAGCGGAGCAAATACTATCATTTCCTTAAGCTGGCCAACGAGGGCGACATTCGGCCCTTTGTGCGTTTCATTGCCGATTGCACGGAGAAGACATTAGACTTGTATTTGTGGGCCACCAGCGATCTGCCACAGCAAATTCCGATGCTCATCCAAACGGAGAGCGAGGGCCATGTCTTAGCTCAGCTGCAGCCGCACATTGCGCAAAGCATCCCGGAGCTGCACGAGTCGGGCTCGGATTCGGGCTCCGGCGCAGATCCCATTAGAGTTCCCTGACACCCAATGCAAAGGCTGACCCAGTGGTTGCTCAATATTATTAGAAGAATGTATATTGTATTTTGTGAGTTTTAGCATCAAATTTTTGTATATTTGTAATTTATTCAATAACTAAACAAAGCCGTTTGTCAGACTGTGATCGTATTTAAGTTAAAAGATTTAACCAAAAATTGTAACAAAATGCTTTATTGAGAGCATGATAATAACTAACGCACAAAGGCAAATAATAATGTATATACGACTATCAGTAATACACTTTTTTTAATAATGTTTCTATACAAGACTGGGTTTTGAAAATTTCACTCCCCGTCTGTGAAAAATGCGCTGAAAACTGTTTGAATTTTCTTCCAATGGACTTTAAATTTATGTTTCAATCAGCGAATTAAATTAATGAGTACGCATTTTTATTCATTTTCTTTGTAAGTGTATGTGTGTATGTATATGTGCGCATATGTATGTGTCCCTAAAAGTTCTCATTCATTTCCACTGCGCTGCATACTTAACAATTTGCGCTTGCATTTGTGTGCATGTATTTTGTATGAATGTATTGGAATTTGCATGTATGTTTGTATGTACATATGTATACATATATTTTTCTGGCGCCAAAAAAATTCAAATTGGCAGGAGGCTTTACGGCCAAGCAAACAAAATACTCTCTCAGTTCATTATGCAAACGAATAATGCTTAAAAATCAGCTTATTTTTATTTCTTAACTCGGGACTTACCTCTCAAACACATATTTATGCCTTTTTATAATAGTTTAGCCAATTTCATTACATTTGTATTTGTATGCATGTATGTATATGTATATGAGTATATAACCGTTATTCACAGTTTACACTAACCGACGCTATTAAAATGCAAAAATAATAGCCTTTTATGTTATTTATATTAATTAATAAGTTTTATATGATTAATTTATCATGTATAGGTATTATATTTATATATTACTTAATTAACTTGTCCGAGTACTTTCGCGTATGTGTTCACTTTCACTTTGAAAATTGCACTAAACTGACGCCGCCGACTTAACCTTCTTCCATGCTGCTTCTTCCAATGCACAAAAACAAAATGTATGCGTGCGAAAGATAACGGCGAATTTGCCTAAAAGGAATTCAAGCTAGTAACAAATTAAGAGCAATAACAAATTTGCGTACGTACATATTAAGAAATGTATATATGCATTTATTTATCTGTTACTATTAGTGTTTAAGTATCCATTTAACTATTTATTTATTGCCCAACAAGCTGTACAGTCGCAATTTATGCAAATCTTAATAAAGCATATCACATTTTGAATAAAAAGTGACTTTATTGCAAAACGTTTTAATTAAAGCTAAAGATACATAAAAGTTTGATCTTTGACCAGCAATATTGCACATTGATTATATATATCACGCAATTAATATGAAGCTGTTTGTAAGCTTTGAAGTACACGGCTGTTTGAACAGTTCTGATCGTTTGATAATAATAATAATAATAATGAAGGCACTTATTTGCTCACATCTTACGAAACTTAATATACTATTAAGAGAATATAACAATTTAAGACTTGTTTTTGGTTTTCTTAAGGTTCTTTTGGAATTTTACAACTTGGCGCGCTGTAGATAATTCTTGTAGGTGACATCACGCCACCAATATGGGCGCTCGTACACACCTGGTGTGGACACAATAGTTCGCTGCAAATGCTGATATACCTGTTGATTAGAGAGAAAACGTTAGCGCAAAACGACTTTTTGCAAACAAGCTTAGCTACATACATTGCCATCGCTCATGCCCAGCGGAGAGTTTAGAATGAAATCAGTGGGTGCAATTGCGTCCACTAAAGCAATCGCTTCGTTCTTTAGCACGGGCAGCAGCTCTAGTATGCCCTGCTGGTACAATTCAATGTGCGAGCTATTGCGGAAATAGCCACCTTGATAGAACAGAGCGGAGTATTTGGTGACCAAATTGGCGCCATAGAAGGACAGCAGCTTGAGCAGCACCTGCTGCTCGGCAGAGGCGGGCAGACTGTTCACAAACTTGTAGAACACATAGTAAATGGTGCGCTGTGGATATCAAAGATAAATTAGTTACAATATTGATCAAACGATCTTAAATAATGAGTCGCACCTCTGCATAGATAATGGAAAGTTGCTGAGCGGCGAAAACTTGAATATTGTTGCGTGTCTCAAATGCATCCTTGCCGGCGAACTGCAGCTGCTCAACACGCTTAACAGTCGCATCCAGCTGCCAAGCGGTTAGCCAGTTAAGAGCCTTCAGCAAATCTGCAAGAGGATGAAATAGGTTAATAATGTATCTCTCTACTAAATAAATAATCACGCACTGTGCACGTCAAGAGCATGAGCAGCGTTATGCTCTTGCCCCTGGGTCTGCAGAATGGCATTCATATCATTGAGAAATGAGACTGTCTGCAAGGGCGAAACATCCACAAAGTTCGCATTGCTGCGTCGCAAGCTAATTAGCCAATTGGATGCCTGCTGTATGAGCGTATTGTTTTCACCCTCATACGTGCAATTGGCATCATTGTCGTTCCTCAGATCGCCCAAGCCAGATGCCCGCAGATAGCCATGACCGCCACACGCTTCACGACATTCCTGGATGCCATCACGAGCCGCCCAGGTGGCGCATGGTTTCATTGCTGACGAGATTGCATGTATTTCCATGCCCTCCTTGGAGGTATCCTCGCCCATCATGCCCCTGATGGTCATATCCACATTAGCCTTGCCAATCCACAGAGTGGCCACGCGCAAAGCTATTGTTGTGGCCAGATGTGGCATCAGGCGATACTGCTGCGACTGATATTCAATCACTGGCCATTCCAGCTTGCTGTCGCTGGGTCCGAACTGCCGACGACTCGCCGAATACCGTGTGGCAATGCAAATGGCCTTGCTGAGCGCCACATATGTAATAGCTGTGATATTAACTCGACCCGTAGACAGAGCGCCTAGCGAGGCACCGAGACGTTTGCGCTGATCCTTGATGGGGCTGCTGTAATTGCCTTGTGCATCAATATCACCCGTCTTGGAAAGCAAATTCGCTTTGGGTATGCGATATTGATTGAACAATACGAATCTGTAAGATTATATTTATATAGATTAGTAAAGATATCGCAGGCAATTTCATTGGGTTTAAAAAAGCGTCTGTCACGGGAGTTTTATACCCAAACTTCGTACAAAAGTAATAACATCTTAGTTTTTAAAGTGTTGTTTCAGAATAATGTAAGGTTGACATATAGATAGAATTTTACGCACCCATTGTCAATGCCATTGAGTCCAATTTTCTCGCCCAAGTCGCCAACGGTGACGCCTGGGAACGGCAACAGTGTACGCTCGTCGCGAATTGGCACCAGGAACGCATTCAAGCCCTGATGCTTATCATCCGGCACATACAGCTGTGCGTAGACAATCGCATGGGTGCAGGTCTTGCCCAGATTACCCACCCAGCACTTAGCCGCCTCAAAGTCTGGCGTGTGTATAACAAATTCCTGCGTTTTGACATCATAAGTAGCGCGGGTCCGCATACCTGTTCGATAAGATAGAAGAAATAAAATAAGAAATATCATATAATATTCTATTACTACCATTTGCGTTCGTTCCATGAGAGATCTCAGTTAGGGCATAGGCGCCCAATATACGATCGTCGGATATTTTAGCCACATATTTGCCCAGGCGTCCGGTCCCATTGGATACCAAGGTGCTGGGAAACATGCCGTTAGAGAGTCCGAACTTGACAGAGAAGCTGAAATCATAACTGAATATTGCCTGTCCAAAGGCCAACAGCAAATGGGGCGTAGATAGATACTAAAATGAAAAAGTTATAAATAAAGGTTAATAGCTGGCTGACAACTGGGCTTTAATTAAAGTCAAATCCAACCTCATTGACATCGAAGAACTTTTGCTCCCAGAGTAAATGGTGGCGCTTGTTAGCCAGCTCCCTTGTACGCTCCAGATTGGGGGCTTCCGGTTCACGCTGATAATCTGGATGTTGCTCCATCCATTGCCATACTTTGTGCTATTTTGTATTTTTAATTTTATTAAGGTACTTTGTGCTGTTTTGTATTTTTAATTTTATTAAGGTAACTTTAGATTAGTAAACGTTACGATAAGATGACACAACCTAAATGCTATGCGAAGTGTTTGGGCAATCGAACAATTTTTAGATAAGAAGTTCCTAATCAATAATACAGTGAAACCTGCCTAAATAGATCTTTCTTGAGATAGCCAGTTTCTCTATTAATTTATCTGACTCTAGCTGTCATTATTCGTACTTGTTGTGCCTTTTAAATATTTATGTAGTGAAAATTTATTCTTTCAAGATTTCAAAATCAGTAAAACCAAAGATCTTTGATGATTGTCCTTACTTTTACAAGCTCTCGCACTTTGATCTCTAAACAATTAGTCAGGCTTTTCAAAATAGGTCATTAGGTTTTGAGTCTTTCAATTAAAATGATAATCAGATGATATTTAATAATTAGATGACAAGTTCTTTTCATAACAAAAATAATCGAGTCGCTTTCATGAGCAAAGAGAAATTAAACTTTGGATCACTTGAACCTAACAGGTTTTTCTTGCGCGATTAAAGCGGCTATTGAACTTTGCACCACACCTGAACTTAATATACATGTAATTGAATATTACATTTAAATGGAGTGTTTCAAAAGTGGAATTTCATGTAGGAGTACTTTACCTTTAGACGTATGTGCTCCTCGCCCTCCAGCAGCACAATCATACGCTTGTAACAGAAACTCGCCTTTTCGCGATATTCCTCCAAGGGACCGCTCCGAAAGCTGGGGAAAATCTTCTTATCCTCGTATATGTTTTTCGGCTCGACATTCTGCTTGCCGCTATAATAATCCACCAAAGATTTAAGTATATCGCTTAAGTGATTTGCGGGCGCAAGGCTTTCGCTTTGTTCGTTGTCCATTGCGGACGCAACAACAACTGAAACAATTAACAGTTGCATTCAATTACTCACTTGGTAATTTTAGGTGCAACCATGTTTGGAGCTGGCGCCTTTCCTAGCTGGTTTAGATGCGTTAACGGTCAGCGATACGCTTAAACTGTTTCAATATTTCATAAAGCTGCGCTATTTACAATAGTTAAGGGGCGCTGGTGGGCTTATCCGCTGTTTTTAATTTTTACGATCATTAAACCGAAATAGCCGGCTCGTTTCCGTTGGCGACGAAGAATCGTTATTGCCGTCGCGTAGACCAAGCGGTGGGTTGTCCACTCAACCGTAACTGATAAGCGGCATGATAACACGTTTGTGTTGGCCAACCTTTCACATATATATATAACTACTTTATAGGCGTGATAAATGCCATTAGCGAATTTTTTTTGCTGATTTTTGAGCTTTCGTTAAATTTCTTTTCGCGAATAAAAAAATAAGCCGTTTGACCAGCAGCTGTTCAGTACAGTGTTGTACAGCGTGCAAATGTGGCGCTGTGCAACGGTCACACTGACGACGCACACAGCTCGTTAATTTGAATTGCAGCGAACATATAAATTTAAAATTGATTTTTCAACCGAACTTATAGTTTTTATAAATTGGTATTAAAATGACACAAATTAAGATTGACATATACATGTACTCGCATTTTTATTTCAACTTACACAATTAGTTAACATGCACGGCATTCGCTTGGCTATTTAAATAAAATTCTATATATTGTTTATATTGTTGATTATCATTATTATGCGCTTAACTTTAAATGTTTATCGCTAACTTTTTTTGCAGCTTTAATTTCGTAGCCTAAACGGAATTTTAATGATATTGTACTTATGATGATCGTTTATTAAAAATTATAGCAATAGGCTAAAAGGTATATTTTGTTTTTACGTTTTAGACCCCGAATTAAACTAATTAGGTAACATGTAGTCATTGATTAGATATTTGTAACTCTCATTATTTTTGCTCTAGCGTCAAAGGCGCACAACGTGTGGCATAATTTCGTTATTTTGTTGATACTATTATTAAAAGCCATATAAAATTAGCTGCGCTACAAATATTACGTTGCTTTCGTATTAATTTATAAGTGTGTTTGTATTAAAGCATCTATAATTTATGTACTTGCTAAAATGGACTAATTGACGCTTTCAAATGAATGTGAAAATTACGTGATATTTGAATTATCTGATACAACCGTATATATGTATGTTAAAAGTCCTAATCCACAAATTTCGTTTTGGCTTCACATTGTTACAAATATATATATATATATGTATATTGATTGATATACTATAAAAATAAACAGATAAAAATAGACAAACAATTAAACGGCAAAAATTGTGCTAATACGAAATACAATTAAAACCAAACTAAACTTTATGCTAAATAAAACTAAAAGAGATTGCAAATTTTTGGGCCTTAAAAAAATATATCCGGTGTGTCAAATAGATTCAAACTCTTCTCCATCAGTGTGCCCGACAATAGTCCCAAATCCACCTGCTCCTCCTCTTGGACGCCCCGCGCGCCTGGCGACGTTCTTGCCTGAGAGTCAACGCCACTCTGCGCATTCGGCTCATATCATCGACTCTGACAGGAGCTGGCCGCCGATGAGTTCGATGAGAATGCAGACTGCAAACTGGTCATGGAGCCCTTGTAGTTAACCGAGCTAAGCACCTCGTAGAATATATTGAGTTGTGCACCCGATGGACTGAACCAGTGCATTAGATAGCTGTCATTGTGACGCATCACATGCGAGCCCTGTACACTCTCTTTGTGTCGACAGATGAGCGTTGGTTCCTCTCTGAAAAAGTTGACACCTTCGACAAAGTCCTGAAGATCAAAATATGATACAGCCGAGTCTGTGCAAAAAGTAATATTGTTTAATTTCAATGAAAAACTAGTTAATTGATTTACGCACCATTCTTGTCCGGCAGCTCTTCGGTGACGCGATAGAGCGTAAAGTGCAAATCATTACGCAACACATCAAAGTCCCAGGTGAGCACACTCTTTGGATCCATATTGCGTATGAGCAGCTCGTGAGTGAAGCCCGCCTTAAGCTCAACGGTCTTATAGAGATTTTTATGATCGTGCTGATGAGCGGCAGACAAACGCTTGCCCTCATTGGGAAGGTCAACAACGCAGGCGGAAGCGGCGCGTGAAGCAACGGGCGTCTCATCATCATGATCCTCCAATGAGTTCATTTTGTAAAGCGTCTTCGGCACAAGGCCGCCCTCGTGTATCATGGTCTGTTATAGAAAAAATGCGCAACATTTAGTGACAATCAAAGTGTGTTTGGCAAATGCTTAGCTAAGCTTTGTTTTTTCTGTTGTTTTTTTTTTCATTCAAGGTACAAGGTACAAAAGTGTGCGAGTGCACACACAATTGAAGGACCGCACGGACGCTGGGCACAATGAAAGGATATGCAGAGCAGCAACAAAACGCAATTATAGTACATATTTATAGACTTGACATAGTTCGCAACACAAAGGACAGAGAAACAAAGTGAACAGAATATGACAAAATGCTTTTAGAGACCTGTTTTAGTATATGCTAAATTTTAAGCTAGTCGCCTTGAGGTCAATGTTGGATTTGGTAACCAATGCAAACAAGATATAAACACCAAAAAGTGGGCAGGTTGTTTTTAAAGCTCCTCCCTGTTCCATCATTAGCCGACTTTGCCACCGACTCTGGGTTTGCAAAGCCCTTGGCAAGCAAAACCAAAGTCTGATTTTGGCGTGTTTACACCTGAGGCATACACAGTGAGTATAATATACATATAAAAGAACGAAAACATAATAAACGGCACTCTATATAAATAGTATATGAATAAATAACGTGATTTGGCTAAGGAGAGTTTAGAAGCTGCTTACACAATCGCATTCAGCTAAATAACAATGCGTTAGATATTTTTTATTAACTTGTTCCACATGCGTTAAATGCGTCTAAACAGCGCCGAAATGTTCAAAAGGGGTGGGATTGGATAAACAAAGTTACGAAAATAACAGTAAAATCATTATCATGTATATATATATACAAAAATAATTGTTAATCGTTACAAAGGTTAACAGACAATTTTTGACTAATATATATTGAGGTCAGTTGCTGTAAATTACCTTGCAGGGCCCGCCCAGAAAATCGGGCACAATTTCCTCATCAATATACTGAGCGAGTCCATCCTTCATGTGCTCACAGTCTGGGCCATAGAACAAGAACTTTGAGCGTGTGTGTTCGTCTACGAAAAAAGTTGGGCATAAGAAAAATTGTTGCCAACACGTTGATTTGCCCAACTCACCTATGAAAGCGCTGACAATAGTCCAGGCGATGGGGAATACGCGCGGAGCACGCACCACCAAAACACGGCCCATTGTCTCCGGGTAATTGCGCTCCACGGTCTCGGTGATGTAGAGCAAGGCCTTGATGCCGGGCCGCCACAAGTGACGCATAGACAGACCCTCCAGATCCACCAAGAGCGACCAGTTGAGGACGGGCTTATCCAGGCGTTCGGCCGATTCATTAATCTTCTGTATGCCCTCCTCGCAAATGTGCAGAGCCTGTCAATGGAAAAGTGAATAGGAATAAGGATAATGTACATGGCCATTTCGCTGCCAAACTAACCAATCTAAGCAAGTCCTCCATGCCTAGAGACTTGAGCAAGCCCTTCACGTCCATGTGACCCAGACGCAGTATGTATATGGGCCGGCCATCCTTGTCGTGATGATGCCAGCCGCCGGGAAAATGATCAACCACAACGGCTGGTTTCTGGTACTCCGCGAGCAGTGAATCGATTCGATGCTCGCGACGCCATTTGAGCGAATCACAGAGCATGGCATAGGCCTGGCTAACGTGCCAGTCGCGTGCTGACAAGAAACGCAAGATGGTCTGATAACTGGGCATGCGCTCCAGATCATCGACACCATCCAGCATTTTTCGCAGCTCCAGCAGCTTGGACTCCTGCATGGGCGACAATTGGCCCAAATTGCGTGCAATAAAATCACCATCGAGGAGTATATCATGATGCTGTTCTGTCGTTGGCGACTTGGGTGCATCCAGTGGCGGCACCCAGCGCTCCACATGCGTGACGCCCTCCTCTTTGAGCTGGCTGATGAAATACTCAATTATCTCCTTGCCTTTGAGCGTCGTTTGTGTATACTGTTTCATGCCCATCTTCTCCATGGAGTGCTCGAAACCGAAAAAGTTCTTAATATCCAGCGTGGCCGTCTGATCAAAGCACGTCCATTCGGGATTGTCCGGATGGGCATAGTAGCGGCAACGCTCGAAGATTTCGATGCGCGACGAGAAGCTCTCGTTGACCGCCTCGATGCTCAGCGTGCGATTCGACATGTCCAAGAAATTGTGCTGCAGAAAGTATACAAAGTCGACGCCAATCAATTTCTTAAAGATATACGGCGCATCGACGGCCAGCTTGCAGCGTCGACTTGTATTCCGCTTGGCCCCATTCTCCAGGCACTCGTCCTTGATAATTTCGCAGTCCAGGACAATGGGCATTTGTGGGCATTTCGGAAAGCGACGCTCGTAGGCCTAATAATTATTGAGAAATGGCAGATGTAAATGATATGCTCGATTGTCGGCTGGCTGCCCTTGAACAGGGGCCAATTTATGGCATGTAAATGTACATGAACTTGGCCTCGGGCCACAGGCTGTACAGATATCGATATAAATATATATATATATACTTATATCTAAAAATATATATGCATGTGTGTCGCACCAAGCACGCCAAATATTTGCAAAATTAGTGCCAAGTTATAAAACAGCTGCCTGTTTATTTACCCTTTGTATAACTTCATAGAGGGCTTTATAATTTTGCCACGAAATTGGCAACGCACAGCAGGCGAGTTCTTCGACCCAACGACGTATATATATATATATTTTTTTTTTTATCAGCATGAACAGCTGAGTTGGGTTTCTATGCAAATTAGTATTTCAGCTCTCATCGTGACCACACAGAACTAAATTAAAATGTTTGTGGGATTTTTCATAAATAGCGTTGAAAGCGTTGCAGAAATCTTTTTATTGATATTGCACAGAGATTAAAGCTAAACAAATTTCGATTCTTTATGGCTCTTGCTTAATGCTAGACTCTCATTAGCTATCCAAGGGGGGCGTAAATAAACAAATGCGGCAAAGCACTTTCTACGCCGTATTCCAGTTATTTGTGGCAACAATTTATCTGCATAAATGTATCGAAACGAATTATTTATCATGTATTTAAACGGAACATTTTCTGTGTTTTTTAATTCCTTAAATTCCTTACATTCCAAGGTCACGGAACTCGTGTCCTTAAAGGCCGTGAGCGTCAAAACGGCTGACATTTTCGAGGGTCGCACGCCAAAGGATAATTAAGTCGGCCGTATAAATATTTGAAAAGTTCAAGGCATACACAACGACGTGCCTGGCACGTGTTGGCTGGGAAAAACTAGGAGAGAAACCAACTTGTTGTCGTGCTACCCTTTCCCTGTTGAACGCTCAATTATTTAGCGGCCGGAGCGTGTGAAAAGCCACACAAGCTAAACTAAAACCGAACGGAGTCGAGTTTTCAGTCCCAGTCACACGATAATAATTTATGTGCCACAGCAGCCCGGCACGTTCTCCGTTTTATAGAGTATTTGGACAGTTATTAATGCTTTTCCTTCCAGACGAAATGTGCTAATTGCGCATCAAGAAAAGTTTGCTATATTTGCCAGCTAACCGATTTGTTGACGGCTTTCGAGGGCTCATTACACAGCTGCACAGCTGCACAGCTGCTCCACGTGACGTATGCGTAATAATAATTTTGACTGCCGCGTTGACGGCCTGAAGATTGATGCCAAATGGATATTGATGGCCCTGAGCATTGCACTTACCCTACTTCTTCTGCTGCTGCCACGCGCGTAGAGCTCCCGACTAGGGAATACCCTGAACCCTCTTCTTCCGACAGGCGATAGGTGTAAAATGAAAGATACTTGATATATATATACTATTCTAGAAGCTACATGTCAAGTTTGGTGACTTTAGCTCATATTTGTCGAAATTGCTCAAAAAACAGGATTTCGATATCGATTTTTATCGATTACTTTATCAATTACTCGAATATCGGAAACAAACTCGATCTGCGCGAAGACTAGGAGGACCTACAAACAAAACTTTAATTTCTCTAGCTCTTATAGGTTCTGAGATCCTTGCGTTCATACATACGGACAGACGGACAGACAGACGGACATGGCTAGATCGACTCGACTATCGATGCTGATCAAGAATATATATTTATTTTATGGGGTCGGAGATGCTTCCTTCTGCCCGTTACATACATTTGCACAAACACAATATACCCTATTTACCCATTTTTAATGGGTTCAGCGTATAAAAAAAGAATCTGTGTATATAAATAGGTAAAAAACAATCTCACAATTGCCATATTGCGTCGAGTTGTGGCTAAAAAAAGGTTGACATTTACGACAGGTCTTCCAAATGGTAAATAGGTCTTGCATCAATAGGTTTATGTGTGGGCGCTTTTATGCCATTTTTGATTCGTTTTATTCCCGCTTCTTGTTTATCGTTTTAGCAAATTATTTTGTTTGTGGACTAAAATAATATTGTTTATTGACAAACCGAGGATTTGGAAGCGATAAATGCTTGATTTAGCTAAATGGAAAAACTCATGACATCTGCGAAATTGGTGTCTATATGTTCTAATAATAAATTATGCTTCAGAGATATACAGAAAAATAAATTGCCACAAGCGGAAAATGTGTAGAAAAAAAATAATAATTTAGCCGGTTAAATTGCGCTTTTCTAGATAAACATCTGTTCCATATTAAAAATATATATTATACTTTATGCAACCTTTGGTCGGGAAATGATAAATTTTAGCCATGGGCTAACGTAGAGTTATTGATAAGAAAATGTATTATTTTTTACCGACCAATAATTTTCGCTACATGATTTTGTTGCGTCTTATTTTAGTTTTAGCTTTTTAGTTTTTTACGCATAGTCAGTCCCTTTAAATGTATTTTAATGAAACTACAAGCTAAACTTTCTCTCTCTCTCTGGGCCAAATAGACAACGTGCCAGTCAAAAACGTGACCATTTCGCCCGTAGGCTGATATCGTGCATAGTATAAAGCGATTATTTTTACTGTTAAGCCAATTAGTTTGACTTACTGTAGGTAAAAGCAAAAAAACAGTGCGCAATGAGATTTAAGTTTTTGTATTTTTTTTAATTCTAGAGTCAATGACTTTTGCTTGGTGGCCTTTGTGTCGCCTACAAAGCAATTGAATGCAAAATACTACAAAATTATAATAAATAAATTTGTTTGTCTGCTGCGCAAACACTCAATTAATGCGCCATTTTCCGGCACAATAAATTATGCTTAACTTAATTAAATAAACGGCCCAACTGCGTTCTGGTTACATCGATAAGACAAACACGTTAGCCAGTCGTTTATCGACAAAATTATAAAAACAAAAAAAACGAGAACCAATTAGTTAATAGAGCTGATATGGTGCGGGGTGAGCCATTGATATGTTATCAGCTAATATGCCCTTTTTACCCTGACAGAGAGTATTATGATTTTTTTATACGAAATTTGTTGCCATTAGAGATAACAGGTGGAAATTTTACGAAATTTGTGGCCATTGGAGATAGCATGTGGAGGCAGAAAAAATAGTTAAGTATATTTTTTTTACCGTACTTCAGCAACAAACTAAATACACTGTAAAAAATTAAATTCGATTCATTTATGGCAGTATATTCAATATTAAGTTTCAGTCATCATTTCTTTTTCGCTGAAAATACGTACGAAACTAGAAATAATTAATACAAATTGAATATATTCCAAATCAGAATTGGGCTAAAAAACTATTGCAGTGCAGTTTACTTAAGAAGTTAAGCTGCCCGCAAGCTCAGAGCGGGAATATCTCATTGCCAATGCGTCCGCTTGAAAAATGAGAAAACCCTGGTTCGTTTCCGGAAGCAGATATCTGATTTTTTTAATTTATATTGAGTTGAATGCATGTGCATGTTCTAAATAAAATGATATCAGATCGAAACTGTATTCCGTTACGCCTGGTACTATCATATGATCTAAGGGGAGTTTATTTGTATCTTTCGCAGATAGTTTAAATTAGTGTGATATCTGTTGAATGTGTCATATGTCATGAAGAGTATTAAGTCTTCGGCAACCCTAAGATACATAACTGTTCAAACTTGCTGGCTTTTTTTATTTGTGAAGAGTGTTATGTGTCTCATTTCGTTGATTGTCGTATATTGTGTACAATGGGCCCATAATCGCTTATTTCCTGCCTATCGCTGTGTGAGGCGGATCTGGAATGCAAAACACGAACTGGGCAGCTGACCGCCTTCCTTTCACCCCCTCTCCGCACGCCAGAAGCGTGGCGTTCCATTCATGAAATTACATACGCGAGTTATTCAATTGAGCAAATGAGAGAAGCGACAGAGCGAGGCAGCAAGAGAGAGCGCCAAGGTTAATTTTATTTATCCGCTGCATGCGATGCGCAACGGCAAATGACAGCTAGAAGAAAAGGTAAACGCTGGCGGAAGGAGTGCAGCAGCTGGATGAGAAATGATTGAGGGAAATGCAGCCCAAACAACGACAGCTGCTGCGTCTAATTAATAACTTGTAAGCAAATTGCTTTTATATAAAATGAGTTGACATACACGCGTTTGGCGCATGAACACCAAAGCACAACACACACACGCACACAAACACGTACATACAAAGCCACAGGCACACTCACGGGGTGTGGGCGGTGTATATGACACGCCTACTGCAAATAAGATACACACCTTCATAACGAGCTCAAAGGGATATTTGTAGACGCGCACGGGCGATTGGAATTTTTGCACCATTTTGTTGCTGTTGCTGTTTTAGCTCTCGTTGTTGTTGTTGGCACTTGACACTGGTTAAAAATCAATTTTTCTTTTCTTTTCTATTTGCACTTTATTCTGCACACATACGCGCCAAAATGCGCCTTTTATTTGCACTCAAATTTGGAGCAATTTTGTATTTTAGATGTTTATAACAGTTAAGACAGTTTAAAAATGTGTGCTCATTTCGTTGAAGTGTAGAAAAATTTGTTTTGCTTCTCTGCAGCCCCAGCGCTCGTTGTTGTGCTTGCAACTGCTGCAGCTGGCTGAAAAGAAAGTCTTTCCTTTTTTGTGTACACTCCGCGAATGCTTGACTGTTTTGTTAGCGAAGTAACATATATATATATGCATATATACCGATATATCGATAGGCTTTACTAGTTTTCTATTATATTAAATATCGATATGTTGAGCGATGAATTCTGTTAAGTTTCAAATCTTACTGTTAGTGGAACACCAGTTCTAAGGTGTTTTGTTCGTTTTATATTTAAAACAAAGTATACTTTCACTTAAATTGCAACTTTTCTTACGTAATACATTTAAATTGTTTTTTTTTATGAGCATTATGGATACAAATAGACGAGTATGCAACAAGCGCGTCTGTCTCACATACATTTTTACGTTTTCACTACTTGTCCTCTTTTTCTACTATTTAATGTGGAATAACAGAAAGAGTATTGTGGGTCTTTCGCGGCTGCAAGAAGATGTTAACTGTATAACGGTAATTATTAAACTAACGGCTTTTCAAAAATAAAAATACTGGTAATGGCTATATTTTTGACTTTAAAGCAAGCGCTAAAAGTGGATTGCACTGGACAGAAATTTAGCAACCTGCCTTCCGGAAAAATTAACTGCCTCACTCGTGATTCTCAGAAATCAATAGGATGTGATACACGGGAATTGAATGCTTGTGTGGATGCGCTGGTTAAACGCAAGCTTGGTAATATTATGGACGATGTGTATAGCCTAAAAAAGAAGGTTATGGAAAGGGGATGTATCGCGAAGTGCAACAAGGCCCCAGCTCCAAACAAGAAGGCATTGATTTTGGCGCCAACTCGTATAAACTACGCTTCAGAGGAGCTGGGAGCACGTATAATTTATGCAATAGCAAAGCCAATTAGCGATAGCAGCTTTATAAAGAATCTTCTCGGACTTGAATTTAGTGCCAACCCGCCAATAAATATGTTGCGCCCGAGTATATTACCAGGGTCGTGCTTCGGCTTTCGTGGCACTGAGGCTACGGTGTCGCTACACTTGGCTAAAGTTATATTCGTGGATGAAATAAGTCTATCGCATGTGGCCAAGGAGATGACTCCCAGTGCATCTGTAGATAATGCGCCAAAAGATTTTGAAGTATACGTAAGTTCTCGATTTTATATTGAAGGTTGCGATCCAAACAAATTTTTTTTTATTCTAGGGCTTACCTCCAGATAGCAAAAAGAAAGAGCTGGTAGGTCAGTGGGTGTACGAAAATGATCCTAAGAAACGTACACAGAATTACGTTGTCAAAAATAGTCGAGTCTTTTGCACATTGGTATTTGTATTTAGGTCAAATCATGGCGGAAATTCCACCTGCGTCTATCGGTAATTACCTATATTTGGTTAAGATAATAAGTTTAATTATTTTCTACACACAGCGTGGAAGTATATGGCCGAGTTCCATAGAGAATGTTATTTAACGTTAATAGTTATGATTGTTGAGTTCAAGTTTTATCGAAAAACCTCGGTTTTAATTCCATTTTTAGTTATCAAATTGCTTAGAGTTCAAATTGTTATTGTAATTGTGATATATTTTTTTATAACACTTCACAACAGATTAATCCAAATATATACAGTGACAAACGCATTCAAATATTTCGATATAATATTGTGACTACAAAACTGTGACTCGACCTATGCGAATACTTTCGATAGGTATCGGGTACATGGGTACACATTTAACTATCGCCCATCTTCAGGGTGTAGGCTTAAAGTTAGACATGAGCGATAACGATTATCGTTTTGGTTTTGGCAAAGATAAAATTGAAATAAATAAGTTAAAACACGATGGCCTGTGGCGATTAAATCTAAATAACAACAACAATCTTGTGGCGTGCAACTTAACGCATAATTACAGCAGCACCGATGGCGAGGAGCAGGCAAACCTGCAAAGGACAATGGCAAAAACGAAACAGAAACAGACAACAGCAGCAGCTGCCACAGCAACAACAACAGCAACGGCAACAACAATGCCAATACCAACAGCTACAACAACACCAACAGCGGCGGCGGCGGCAGCAGCAACGATAGGCGCTGTTGCCGTGACGCCCACTTGTGTCGCACACATCGAGGACGAGGGCGGAGGAAGATGCGACGGTGCTGCTGCGGATGCCGATGACGGCGACTGCGCTGCGACTGCTGCAGCTGGCGCAGGCCTAGACACCAGTGATAAGGCAAGTATTTTTTTTTCCTATTATTTATGTATATGTATATTCACGTTCTGTTCATTGTTATAATGCAATTTTCGCTGCAGCTGAACGGCATCGGCATAGGTGCTGCCTACACGCTGATTGCGCTGCCCGAACTCGATTGCGACTTGGCAGCGGCTGCAGCTGCCTCCGCACTCTCGCCCACCGATGCGGCCATTGGCGGCCTCAGCTCCAGTCGCACCTCGATGAACAACTCCACTGAGAATCTGAGCTATGCCAGCGACAATTACTATGCCGACGATCTCATATTGCTGGACGACGATGAGGATGACGTGGAGGCTGAGGAGATATCGCTCAATTCGGATGACTGCGTCTATGCGTATCGCGGTGATGCCGCTGACTTCGATATGGCGGCGCTGGATGCCAGCACTGGCCGTGGCGGACGCAATTTGGAATTTGGTCTGGTGCGCGATGATGAGACCGATTTTCTCGAAATGGACTTTGAGCCGGACCCATCTTCGGAGCTGGAGTTTGCGGCCAATGCACAGGAGGCAGCTGCAGCAGCAGCTGCGGGCCATGCCAATCTGCTGCTCATGCAGCGCGATTATAGTCAGCTACAGAGCGGCCGGCACATGGATACGCCCACCCAGCCGCGCCAGCTATACAGTTCACCAATTGAGGAGCTATCATTGCCGCCGCCACAGGAGGCACTGCAGCGTTTGAGCAAGAAATTTGCCCGCATAAGCCTCAATCTGGATCAGATCAAGGCCGATGCGGACGTTGGCTCCGATGTGGATGCAGACGAACTACTCTGCGGCAGTAAGGATGATGAGGATTTTGTGGATGCGACCGCTAAAACAGAAGCAAATACGTTGGCACACTCTCTACCCAGCACACTTGTCTACAGCAACTTCAGTCGCAGCACTAGCGTGCCCAGCGAGCATACCAATGCAGCTGAGGAGACTGCGTGCAACTCCAAGTTGACGGGCGCCAAGCCCAAGCGTCTGAGCACGCTCTCCAATTCCTCATCTTTAGTGTCCGCCTCGAAAAGCTGCGCCTCCTCTTCAAAGTCGCGCCGCTCGCAGCCTAGCTATGATGAGCGCTGCTACAGCTGCACAGATTTTCGTGCCGTCTCCTCCCAGCAACAGCAGCAGCAACAACAGGATGTGGCGCCCATGCTGGTGGCAGCGGCGGCTGTCGTAGCGGCCAGTGCGGCCATGGCCAGCAATTCGACGAAATTCGATTTGGGCAGCGGCGAGGAAACCTGCCTCGACTGCCTGGAGAAGGAGTTTTTGGCCAACACCATTGGCAAGGCCCTCGATCTGAGCAGCTGCGCCAAGTGCCGGCGACGCGGCGGCGGACGTGGCAGCAGTCTCTCACTCTATACACGCGCCGAGCAGACGCGCTGCCGCAGCGGCTCCCCGGGCTATTTGGATGAATTTGGCGGCTTTTTCAGCTGGCACAATACGGCCGGCGACATGGGTCATTACAACCAAAGGTTTATTTCGTGTGATAATAATTTTGGCGGCATGCAGGTGAGTAAACCAAATGGTTTCAATTATTACAATTTAAATTAATATGAGCTCAATACTTTAACAAGGGCATTGGGGCATAATAAAGCCAGGTTTGACAAGGGTTAGGGTTCGGTTCGTGATATATCAAAAAGTGGAATTACGGGCTCGGACACCGGCTTAGCTTAAAATATATTATATATATTTAAAAAATTTTAATTCCGTGCCCGAACCTTAATTCGGCCCAAAACCGGCTCACAGTCTCGAATGATTTTAAAATAAATCAATTCGAAAACTTGATACCCTTACCCAATGTGCCTATATTTCCGATGAAATTTAACAGTTGTTCCCATATTAATTTGATAAACCTTTATACATTAACTTGTTTTTCTCGTGGCTTATTGGAACAGCTGCTCAAGCAAAGCTTTTCGACTGAACCGCTGGTGGAGCGCCTGTCCACGGCGCATCTGAGTGAGGAGCATCTGGTGCAGGCGCTGGACAAACTTCACATTTCCTACAACGCATCTCTGTTGCATGCCTACTTTGAGCAGCCGCCCCAGGACACCGCCGGTGGCAACCTGAAGCAGCTGCTGTTGCATGCCTCCAAGCAGCAGTGCAACCATCGCAAGCTCAAGAAACTGATCGAACTCGTCACGCAGCAGCAGCCACATCAACAGCAGCTGAATGTCCAATTCAAGCGGGTAAAGACTATATATACAATTCCAGAAAGGGTATACAATTTTTAATCTAACTTTCTTGCAGGCTAACGCTGGCCAGGTGGCACTGGTTGCAGTCAAGGTGACTGATATTTTGGCGGCCTGGCAACGGCATCGGGATCTCAATGTGCTGCGGCAATTGGATGCGCGCTTTCATCGCGCCAATGTGCTGGGTGAGCTTTAACCAACGAGCGCCTTTTTACCCCATTTAACCAATTATATTTTCAGGCAAAATTGGACACATTGTGCGTCAGGCACAACAGCAGCAACAGCCGGCGGTTGAGGCAACCACTTCAGCATCGGCTGCGGCATCAACTTCAATCTCATCCATTCGGCTCGCGCTGCCCGAATTCATAATGATACCACAGTATTATGCTTGTGGAGAATTGACATTGACGCGCAAATGTTAGGAGCCGCCACACACACACACACACAGAAACCACAAACACACCAACACACACACACACGACATCAAAGGTTTATGCGTAGCTGCGTTTTGTTAATTTTCAAATTGAGAGTTCTTAAATGCAATAGGGCTGTTCTGGTTTTTGTTTCAATGCGAATGTTCAGGCAAAGTATGTTTAAGCTGATGACATGAGCTAATTCCAACATAATTGAATATTTAATGTATATTCAGGCATATTAAGTTTGTTTGCGTTTAAAAATGCTTGAACATGTTAATACTTAGCGCATGATATTAGCTAGCTGTTAGGCGAATAGAATCATTTCATCATTTTGTTCCATTTTAGGTAACTGCGAAGTTATTTTTTTGTTTTTTTTTTTTATATACACGCCATGGTAACAAGTGTATTTTGAAGCACAACATAGGCACATAAAATTTATTCTTTTGTTTTTTTTTATTATATATGCCAACAAATTATCGAATTTGAATGTATTACTTTTGAAAATCTTTCCAATACCTTAATCTAGTCCTGAACACAGAAAATCTATATGCCTTAAGTTCGTTTATACTCGAAGAATAACTTATAAACTTTTAATTTAGAGAGCGATTGTCGTCAGTTTAAATAGTTATAAATTCCATAATGAGAAAATTTGTGGATATCCATAATCAACTTCGAAATGTGATCAATTTTGTGAAATGATAGAATCAAACGTCGTGGAATGAAAAACCCGAACAGACCGAATTTTGTTCTAATTGCATTTGAATGCCAGTGCTGCCTATTTAGAGAAAAAAAAGTAATTTACGATTTGATGCTTTGGCAGCCACGTATAAACGCAAGCAATAATTGTAACTGCTGTTAGGTGGGGGAGGGGATGGGGGCGTCTTGTTAGAAAAAGTTAAGCGCGTATTTCTGTATGTGTTATAGCGTTAATCATAATAACCGTTAATCGATTTGCAATATTTATATATAATACGAACAAACATGTGTGTACATGTCACGCCCACTAACGTATATCGCAATATAAGATATATGCATACATATATATTTATATATATAATCGAATATACATAGGTATATCGTATATATAGCTTAGCTTGTATACTAATTACAAAATAAACTGTAAGTAGCCAAGTAAACTTCCACATACAACATACATGCGTTTATACGATGCACTAATCGTGATTATCAACTTGATTGTAATATAATAAAATTATATAATTGCGTGTACTTGGAGCATTCCAGGAAGATTAATACACTCCTTTTCGAATTGTAATCAGTTTTAATCACAATTAGTTGCGCGTGTAAACCTTGTTACACATACATACACACACATACTCCACATTTCATATTGAAGACGCAGCTCAGCCTCGACTCCACGGACCCAGTTCAATCTACACCCGCCCCTTCTAAAAAAAAAAAAAATTACGCAACACGGTGAGAATAATGTTTTGTTTTAATAAAATTACGCTTTATTAATATTATTAATTATTCATGTGCTCATCTCCCTAACTTTAACGCGACAAATGAATTCTACAAAAAGTTTTAGGCGTGACATTTATTGGTACCGCTGCTGCGGCTGCTGCTGCTGTTGTTGGCGTCCAGCATTGTAGTAGCCAGGCGGACCGCCACCAGCCGATCCAGGTCCCATGTTGGGCGGCATGGGTGGTGGCGGCGCCGCTGTTGTATAGTGTGTCGGCGGTGGAGGCTGCTGCGTCCAGGCATTGGCCGCATATGGCGGCATGGGCACAACGGGCGGCGGCGGCGGCGGAGGTGCATGGTACATATGATAGTTGGCAGCATTGCTGTTCAGATTGCTGGGCGGTGGCAGTGGCGCGCCGCCGACTGTGTTCGGTGTGGGCAGCGGCAGTCCGTCGCTGGGCGGCGGTATGGAGACAACGGCAACGGGCACCGCTTGCGCCAGCGATTTGATGGTCTGTATATTGTTCAGTTCGGCGTTGATGCCAATGATGCCGCCATTGCCGCTTGGCTGTGCTGTTGCCGTTGGACAATCGCCGCTGGCCAAAGATTTGACATTTGTTGTTGTGGGACTGTCGGCACGACTGGGCGGCTTTTGGGGCGGACTGTTTGGCTCCTGGCCTTCCTTTTGCGTCGACTGATACAGATCCAGCACCTGATGGCATATATCCTCCAGTATCTCCATGGTCACATTCGAGACAAACATATCCCACCAGCGCTGGTGCTGCGGTTGCCTGCCCAGCCAGTCCAGCACCGTGAACTTGCTCAGTTTGCTGGCCAAATGTATGAGAGCAACGGCTATAATTTCCGGCTCCCATTGAAGGCAGACGACCGTGCTGAGCGAATCGTTGACAAAATTCCACGCCATTTGGACCATTTTCTGCAGCTTCGGCTGATCGCCCTTGAAGCATTTCGCATACTTGAGCAGAAATGTATATGGATGCTCCACCTGCAGATCAAATTTGATCGTCTGCAGCAGTATGCGCTCCAGTGTCATTACCTCCTCCTTGGGATCATCGCCGAACGAGTAGAAATAATTGTCATTGAGTATGCCGCGTGCCGTTTTGATGATGTCGCGACACTTTTTGGGCGTCTCCTCCACCTTGCCGGCGAGAAACAAACAACAGCAGGCGGTAACGTAGCGTGGAAAACTCTTGAACGAGTGAAACATGTAGAAGCGATGAAAGTACACAACTCCGGTGGCCATTGTATTGTGGCCGAGGCCCATTTTGGTGCCGCATTCCATGATGAACCGTGCGCCCTCCTTGCGGTAGCGACGCTCTGTTTCATATGTAACGCCATCCAGGATTGAGGGTGTCTCACGTAGCTCCTTCTTGTCATAGTACCAGCAAGGCATCTTTTTCCGGGCCTACAGTGTTTTTTATTTTTTTTATTTTTGGTTGTTAACAATAACAAAAAATCAACCAAAATTAGTGCTTTTCATGTGTCATTTTTTAGGGCGTTTACTCAATGTTTAAATGTGAAAAATGCATTTTTTACCACATGTGGTAACGCCATACGAAAAGAACCAGCTGTTGCGACTGGCAGTGTGACCATATTTTCGTATTTATCGCGCAATTAATTTATGTCTTTTGTTTCCGTTTAAAAAGAGAAAAATGTTTTATGGTATATTTTGCTTTCATTCTGGCTTAAAATGCCAAGCAAATTGGCAAAGAACTGTCCAGAAATCAGCGTATCAAGGTATGTTTACTTTGACATTGATTAGCCACTCAATATTTGCTTCAATTGCCGCTGTTATTTCAGGCTTGGGGTAAGTTGACTTTCCACAACTTTATTGCCGGCGCCGCCGCCGCCTGCCACAAATGGCACGACGCATACCTGTTGCTAGTCCATGGCCGCAGTTTGGCCAATTAGCCGCAATGCCTTGGCTTAGTTGAGGTAACTATTTATAACCAGCCTTTCCAGTTGTCGTTAGCTTTTCATTGTGCTGTGCATACTTCGAGTAATGCGGTCAACGCGTCCGTCTAACAGGAATTCGGTTATGTGCCGATTGCTCCCACTTCTCGGGCTTACAAGTTTCCGTCATATATGCCGCCCACTTTTGTCGCTTTGGGCAACTTTTTGTTCCCATTGTATTTTGCATAAGTGTTGCCAAGTGCCGCTTAAAATATGAAGCTAGATTCAACGTTGAAAATAGCTAAAAAAGCTTTCTGGCTTGGCAATAAAAAGTGTCGCTAGTACTTGTCTGTCTAAAAATGGGCTAATGTAGCTAGAAAATAGCTGGATTGGCCAACACTGTTTTGCATAACAGCTGCATTGCAAAATGCCAAAACTGGTTTGCATTTCGCTCGAGGAAGTGTTGAGAACCAACAATGGCTCGCCCTGGGGAGCCCAGACAAGTCCAGCAGCTATACGACTAGATTTATTTATAGTCGTCTGTCCGTTCTAGCATTTGGTTTTTGTATCACATTTCATAAACAATTTGTATGCACTGTTGCAGTTGCGTCTGCATTTTTGTGTGCTGCCGCTGTCGTCGATGTTATTAACCTTGCTTGGTGCTTCTTGGAGCCTGCTGCCTCCTTGGGAGCTTCCAGACAGGTTCCAAGTTAATCAAATAGAATTGTGCCGGTCCGAGCAGCATAACCAGTTTCTTTATATTCTTTAGCTTTTACTTTGTTCGATCGCACGCTCTCGGCCAGCTCGCTCTCTCCCTCTCTCGCTCTCTCTCAGTCTACCTGCTTGCCGCGTACACCTTTGGGCCGTTTAAGACACGTTTGCAGCTTCGCTGCGCTTGCCGCTGTTCGGCGCTTTTCAGTCACTTTTGAAACGTCGTCAGCGTCGCCAGTTACCAAGCGGATCGCGCCAGCTGGCAACAACAACAACAGCAACAGTCCGTCCAGTTCATTTTGTAGTTGTAGTTTTTTTTTTTGTTATATCTTAATGCGCGTTCGTTGCGGACTGCGGCTTCGCAAAAAAAAAGTCATAAGAAGAAGAAATAATAATAATAGAAGTGGCTGCGAGTGCTAAACACAAAATAAAAAAGAAGTGCTTGCCTAGGCAGAAAAAGTTTTTCAATAATACAATAGCCATAAAGCAATATTGAAATAAAAGAAAAGAAAAGAAATGGTACAAAAAAGTTAAAAAGTAACCACAAGCTACGTATCGCGCGCGCCATCTCTCTCTCTCGCTCTCTCTCTCTGTCTGTCTCCATCTCCCTTAGTCTATCTCGCTCTCTGCATACGCGTACTCCTACTTCCCCCCCAAGCTTCGCTCTACTGCATGCATTCCTTGGAATCATTCTATGTGGATTATCGTTACGAGTCAGAAAGAAATCAAAAAACAACAACCTTGCGTTATTTGGAATATTTTTTACGTTATACCTCAGTCTATAACGCTAAATAAGTAAGTTTTCACAATTTATATATCGCAATATTTAATTTTATTTTGTAAATCTTTTTATAAATTGATTTAATTTAGTGGTACGATTCGGCTGGTTCCCAAATATTTACTGTCAATAGCTTTATTTACTCGTCTGTTGATACTGGTCAAGAATATATATACTATATGGGGTATATATCTCCTTCTATGCGATACCCTATTCATAGTATTATCTCCTCTTAAGTACTTCCTCCCTCATTGAAACTTCCCTGAATATAAAAATACGAGTTTTTCTGCAATTGTATTCTATTTGTTTAAAAATATTATAAAAATTTGTATAAACTTAGCTTAGCTATATTATAGATGATTGATTATTGCATAATATTATTTATATATGCGATATATTACAAAGCAGATGATTCAGTTCTGATCGGCCCGATAAGCTAACCCACACGCTTGCATTGGAAATTAGCGTTGTTGCAGCTTTGTTTGTGATTTATCATCGACGCTCGCATTTCACAAAAAAATTCATCGTCGTCGTCGTCGTCGTTGTTGTTGTTGTTGTTGCCGTCTTTCAATTAAGTGTTAAGTGTTTGGCGATTAGATCATCCGCGGGGCGCGTCAAGCCGCTTAGCCAAGCTAATGAGTGTTTTGGCCAAGGCCGTCTAAAGAGCCTGGCCGTTTGGAGCTAAGCGAGCCGGGAGTTGATTGAACCTGCCACACAGCATCCAGCCATGTGGCAAGTTGCAGGCAGCCGTTTCCCTAATTATAATGAAAAGGGTAGCAAAACGTATACGAACACCCTGTTGCTACAGTGCACGCTATAATTATAGACACTCGACTGCATTTTCGTTCATTAATGATCTTTTGTTTTGGGAAGCATTTAACTTCTTAAATGAGAAGAAAATTCAATGCTGTGATTCATCCAAGTTATTGGGAAACATATAGAAGATAATATAATATATGCAACTATGACAAATCTTTGCTTGTGCCTTTTTGAAATTAGTCAACTTGTTTCGTGAGCTAATACTCATGGCTAATTATAGGCAGGGCTTAAAATTACTGCCATGGTATAATTATATAATATTAATAGTTCGGTTTGCCTTTTCTTAGGAGCTATTTACAAATATATGTTTGCAATATGGATTGGATTGTGCTTTCAAAATTTGAATATTTTTGCTGCAATGAAAAAGTAACTAGAAATAAATTTTGCCTTAACTTAAATATTAAGTTTTATGATGAGGAAACATTTGTACTTTTTCTGTGGCAGGTTATAACAAATTTTTAAATAAATGTAGTAGGAATTGTATAAATGTATAACTGGCAGCACTTATACCTTAATTTAGCTAGCTTTTTGTGGCAAGCTTTTATTTAAATGTAAAGTTAATGATTTTAAGACCTAACAGCAATGTTAATTAGGAGTATCGAAAATTAACAATTTAACAGACAGTTAACATTTGCTTAAGTTTGTATCTGAGCGATTCTTTTCTTTTAAACAAAATACTATCGCATGCCCTTATATTATCTTAAGCAAACCCAAAATATATTTAACTATGTGATGAGGCATACTTTGTTATCCCTCATTGTAGCATAATGTGGTAGCCTATTCACAATTGCAATTTGTATCTTGATTTCGCACACTGTGCACAATCTCAATTGTTGTTGTGGCCGTATTTAACTAGCCCGTGCTGATGTTTTTTGTACCAGGCTGTTGAGTTGTGTTTTGAGGCTTTACTTTCCACAATATGTTAACAATTTTGATTGGCAATGCGATGCGTGGTGTTTGCATTGTTTTTGGCTCGTCGTCGGATCTGTTGCATGTTGCAAATTGCAACTGCAACAACGCGGCGCTGTAATTGTTTTGGCCGCCGCCAAGCGTAACCAAACAGCCCAATGGAGCGGCGTTGAACTCGCCGCTCGGCTGCAACACTTTGAAAATGATTCTCCGCACAAAACACATTCTTGGCCACCTCAACAAAAACCAAACAACAACAACAACAACAACAAAAACCGCACGCAATTGGAAGATGGATGAGAGATAGACTTGAGGCTGAAGAGATATCCGAGTCGGCGGACGGACTGGCAATGTACAACGCACAACGCACTCGACGTGGCCATAAATCACGCGTGCCTTGGCCATATTTGTGGTAGGCTCAGTCGCGGGACGCAGCCCATCAAATGTCAGCTACCTTTTAAGTTGCTTTTTATTTTCCATATAGAAGTTGTTTTGGCCATATTCGTGAGCACCCAAAGTGCTTTTATTTCTGTACCGCTTACAAGTTCCTTAACGCATCTGAACTCTCATGTATGATAATTACCCCGAAAAAAAAAAACAAAAACAGCTAAAAAGCCATTTGAAACATAACTGTGCTTATTATGATATGGCAGCTGTGACAGCTGCTTAGACAACCAGAGAGTTTTGGGTGATTACTTTGTTTTCCTTTTCACCATTTATATAATTTAGTAAAAACTTGTTTTATTTTCGTTATGATATTCAATATGCTTACAGCAAATAGTTGTGCATGCTTAATTTGTTGAATTTCATATAGCTGGAAACGCTTTGCTCTGGTATTTAAAACTTAAGCAATTTCAGGGCTTTCCATATATTGGGGCGTTATTGGGGCGCTATTGGGGCGCTATTGGGGCGCTACTGAGGCGCTATTACCCGCTGTGAGCACAGATACGCTTTTCACTTAACTTTTTATTAAGATACAAATGGATAAGGAAAAACTAGACTTTACTCTTTGGGACCTCGAGAAACCCGTTGCGCTTGGCAATTTACTTGAAATGCGTTACACTTAATTCAATCGCTGATAGAAGCGTAAGCTATTCGCTGTTGACCCAGTTCGCATTGGTAGATCTTTGAAGACGCAGCAATGCTCCAGGCGCCCTATTCTGCGCCGTAGAGGCTACTCCATGGTCATATGAAAATTTCTTTTAATTCATTTATTTAATTTGATTTCAGCCAACTCAGGCGAGAACAGTCATCAACGGAGCTTACCCTTTGGCCAAAGTTATTAATAAGTGTTATTTCTTTTTTATTCTTATTTTTCCCTTTTTTTTTATCATTTTATTTCTTTTTGCGTTTTTCTACTTCTATACTCTGGGGCGTTTACTTATACGCTGACCTGATTAAAAACGGCACGCACACTCAGTTGGACTTGGAGCTCACTGACTCTGGTAGAAAGTGTCGCCACTCTCTTTTCTGCGTCGCAATGCTTAGACTCATTTTTGACATTTGTTGGCCCGCTGCAAGACGGCTTATTGAACTGGCTTGAGTTTTGGGCCTGGGCTTGGTCTTGGAACCTTTAATTGAAAAATAATAAAAGTCAACCAGTTTTCAAAGCTGTCTCTCAACTTTGACATACAAAAGTGCATTGTCAAAAGTTCATTGAAACGCTGCTTGCGCTTGTTGAAAAAGGTTTTTAAATATTATGACAATGCCCCGTGCGCCGCTTGGCCAACCGAAATGAGCTTTAAGCGTTAGCTCTTTTTTACAGCCCCAAGCGGCAGAGAATAGTTGACTTTTATGTTTAGCTTCCATTTTTTTTACCCTGAGTACATTGAAAATGGGTAAAAAGGGTATAATGTTTTTGTGCCTCGTATGTAACAGGCAGAAGAAAGCATCTCCGACCCCATCAAGTATATATATTCTTGATCAGCATCGATAGTGGAATCGATCTAGCCATGTCCGTCTCTCTGTCCGTCTGTATGTACGAGCGCGTCGATCTCAGAACCTATAAGAGTTAGAGCCCGTGCAGTACAAGTTTGCTCCTGATAATCGATAACTTGCCCCATTTTCAAGCAATCGATAAAAAATCGATATCGAAAGCATGTTTTCCCTCTTAGGTTTTAAGGGCAAGAGGTTCCACACTTGACATGTAGCTTTTAGTGTAGTATAAACAGATCAATTATGCCTCATTTTCTAGCTATCACTCCCCCGCCCTAATATAATGTTGCTAGAAGAAGGGTATTCCCTAGTCGGGCACTCTCGGCCACAGCTCTCTTACTTGTCTTGTTTGTCTTGCTGTTTCGTCAGCATTGTTGAAAATTCTAATTAAAATGTTAAAAAAACGTTGTTTGAGAATCTTCTCACATTTGTGTGTGGCTTTTGGCTGGCAACTTTTATAAGCCATTGTTGTGTGTTGTGAATGAAGAAACTGCCAAAGATCATGTATAGCTATTGCGTATGTTTAAGATTATAATAATCTTTATGCATACAGAAAATTGCGTTTCTCATTTTACATATATATATTATTCAGTAGGAGAAGTTAATATGATTTTATTTCGTAAATTTTTGAACTTTCAAGAGATGGGAACTCGAAGTATAGAAGAAAAGAAAAAATAATACAATTATGGCTTACAAAGATAGGTTCACTCGCACCTGCTGCAACTTGATTTTATTTCGCTTTGCTTTTCTTACGTGTGATTGCAATATCTTTAAGCATTTGAGCTTAAAACACGAGTCGTTTGTTTGTGCCAACGAACGCCTCTCTACTTCGCTCTGATATCAATGAATATAAGATATATTAGATCGAAATTGAAGCCCTAAGGTATGTTTTGTTTAAACAAACCAACAAGTGCGAGTGGACTACTCAATGGGCTTTGCTGAAAGGGGAGCAGGATATCAAAATTTAGCTCAAGCTGCCTTATAATAAACTGAATTTGAATCTGGAAATAGTTTTGCTTACCTTAAATATATATATAAAATAAATTTATATTAATCAATAGTCTTCTATTAAGCTGAAACTAAACATTTTCCTGAACCGAAAATGGCATTTAATTTATGTTATTTATTCGGTAAGCCTTACGGATAACTAAGTAGGGAAGTAGCGAGTAAATTATTGGTTTTTAATAGGTTTATCTCATATCTTCATTTTATTTTCTTGCCATGCTCATTAGCATTTTCAGCGCCCCACATTTGGTCCATGACCAACAACAGTGTTTCCCCGAAAGCATTTCTAACTTTCAACAAGCTAATTGTTATGCATTTGCCAAAGGCAGCTCAACAGCTCCGCAGCTCA